TTTGACTTAGAGGTCTTCTTCCATAAGGAGTTTAGCATTAGGTGAATGGAGAGCTGCAGGGGTAATAAAAACAAACTTAAAAGAATGAAGGGGAAGAAAAAAAAAAAGAATGGAAGAAAGGAATTCATTGATTCCATGCTCAAGACACCTATTATCAATCTGCAAGGAATGGATGTTGCATTTGGACTGAGACCAGCAAGAAGGTGTCTAATAATAACCTTGGGCAGAATTGCAGTTGACCACAATAATGGCCCAAGGAAGCTGCTGTTTGTTTCTTTCCACCAACACTGCACATTGTCTCCTCTTAAAATGGATGCTACTCTGAGGGGCGAGATAAATGGTGAGACTAGTGAAGGAAGCCACTGATGTCTCTGGAAAATCTGGTCATCCTCTGAGCACTCGTGGGTGCGTGCCCTACCTCCCAACTGACATAATGCACCTTCCGCAAGACAGCAGTCTCCTGGCACCGCTCCACTTTGAAGCAAAGCCCGAAAGGCAATCCTGCTAACGTGGCATATCGAACCTGCCCTTTTTTATATCCAAGGCCTTCTCAGTTGATCCGTGGTATATCCATCTTCATGGAAGTGACATTGCAGGCTAGAATTACCATGTCCTTCTGACAGCAGAATGCACTCGTAGAAGAACTCGACCAAGGTCATTAACCAAATCCTTAAGCAGACAGCTTTCAGGGTGGCTGAGCCCTGTTAGAAAGGATTTGTGAAGCACCTGCTGGGCCCAGAGGATTCCTGCAGGCAGGCTCTGGGGGCCTAGGAGACAGGAGGATGAATCCATGCCCACAGGAGTCCTCACCCCTCAGGAGTTGGGTCTCCAAGGAGAACTGTTACATCATATCACCCAAGGCCATTACATTTCTGTTCTTGACTGTCAAACCTATGAGTCACCTTGCATCATGTTTAAGCAAGAAAACAGCAAAGGCAGAAAACAAGTCAAGGATCAAGAACATTGCAACAATGGAAAGAAAAGTTCTCAGAAATATCTCAAACCCAAGCACCATGGTTACTTAGGTAAGAAGATTACATTCCTAAAATACAACTCTGTCATAAAACCTAGGCAATTTCCTGTTATTTTTTCCCTACCTTTTTTATTGGTGCTATTTATTTCTGTTTACTACTCTCCTATCTTATATTTTCTTCTAGAGAAAAATAAGGCAATAGGAAAAACTATAGGTATACCTTTTAGAAAAACTCCCCCTTGGGCCTCCCTAGTGGCACCGGTTAAAGTCAAAGCACTGTCAAGCTATCCCCGGCCATTGTGACCTGAGCTCGATCCCCAGCCCAGGAGTTGACCCACATGGTACAGCAGACTTCTCCTGTCTCACCTACTGCTCCCCTCAACAGGGTGTCCAATAGACTCACCTGTTCTGCTCCCCACTTTGGTGAATCGTCTCACTTCCCGTACCTCTGACCTATACCCCAGTTCTTGCATGCATAACTAAATAAAAATAAATCTTAAAAAAAAAAAAGGAAAAGTTCCCCCTTGAACGTGACACTCCATTGTATCCTTAATATCATTATCAATTTGCTACCAACAGGGGTCTAAATACAGACTGTTTTAGTCTTGTTTATTTAGGTATGCCAGCTTCCCCCTTCATTTTTTTAAAAGGCTGTGCCAGTTTCTGTATTAGAAACCAGGGATCCAGAGATGACAAGACCAGTTCCTATGCAACATGCCCCTGCCAAATTTAAACTTACATACATTTCCCTGCATCCAAGAACATCACCCAAACCGCATGTGGGTCACTTAGTACCAGAACCATCAACAGGGTGGCTGTGGAATTGTTCACCTAGCTTTGGATAGTGCACGAAAGATTTGCGAGATTGTCCTTGAGAGGAGAGGCCTCTTTCCCAGTGATTATCAAACTTCAATTCCTTGATTCAAACAGAACTCAGTAAGAAGATGTGATCTTTTAAAAAAAGCAGCAAATACCGAAGTGTGATTCTCACTGTATTAGTTGAGGCACGCAGTGACTAGGAGTTCATGGCTGTTAGAGCTCATGGCTCTCCTTTGCACCCACGACGCTGAGAACACCTCTTAGCACCTTCCGCTAGTCCAACGCTGAGAACACCTCTTAGCACCTTCCGCTAGTCAACTCTTACAGCAACTGTGTTTAAGTATCAGTCTCCTTTAGAATCTCTAGGCCAAAAAGTAGTTGAGGGCTCAGAACTGAGCATGTAGAAGGTGCTCAATCAGCGTGGGCTGAGTTAAACTTGTCATGATAGACAACGTTCACCAGGAATAATAGACAAACACATTCCCCCAGGAGATGAGTGCACACTTTCTGGAAAGCCATCTGAACAGAGCACAGTTCATTACAAAAAGGGCATTTGTCACACATGCTGACATTGCGATAAAATTCGTATTTCGGACAAGTTCACATTCTAGGACATGCATAAAGGCTATCCAGAAATTTCCTTTTCATACCCCTGGGTAAAGTTAGAGTGACTTTGGGGAGCCACTGCGTGCCTCAACTAATACAGTGAGAATCACACTTTGGCATTTGCTACTTTTTTTAAAGATCACATCTTCTGACTGAGTTCTGTTTGAATCAAGGAATTGATAACCACTGGGAGAAGAGGCCTGTCCTCTCAAGGACAATCTCACAAATCTTTCATGCACTATCCAAAGCTAGGTAAACAACTCCGCAGCCACCCTGTTGATGGTTCTGGTACTAAGTGACCCACATGTGGTTTGGGTGATGGGCTTGAATGCAGGGAAAAACACGGAATTTATGTTTAAATACAAGAATATTCGCGAAGCTGAAGATCAACAGAAACTACTAAATACCATGCAAAAATGCCAAGTTAACATTTTTACTTGCCCTCTTCATCAAAAATCTTTGTTATTAAGTGATTAACATGTACCTTCGTTGTAAAAAGATTATTAACAAAGAAAAGTTGGGTTCTTGAATGTAAATCTCAATTTAAAATACACCCTTACAGTGATCACTTTGCTGCCAAAAAAGGAGCTTCAAAAAATGGCTTATACGTTGCAGGTAGCCCCTAAACAGAGACAATTTTCAGTGGACCATACATAACAATGGACAACAAGGAAAATGGTGATCAAAACATTCGTGTTTTAAGGGTTCAACTTCTGAACAGCCTACACACACACATACTCTAAGCCAGATGGGAAGGGAACACAATTTACTTAACAGTGTGTTGTAGGGGAAAGTTACTTTGTATGCCTATAAAACTCAGGGTTTCAAGTTGCACCTCCAACCCTTTGAACAAAAGTGATCTTGAAGAAGCCACTCACACTCCCCTTTTCCTCAGTTCTAAAATGGGTAGCAAGTTGGTAGAGTAACATTGCCAGCTGTGCATGGTTCCTGTAAAATAACCTACAGAATGAGAGGTCACAAGTGAAAATGCAAAGTCCTCGAACTTTCTTCCTTCCCTTGATTTTCTCTGTTCATTCACTCAGGTAGAATCAAGGAACAGAGGAAAGACAAAAAGGGAAGAAAAAAAAGTGGTCACTAGAGACTGAAATCACACAAACTAGAACTGAATGCTATCTTTCCTTCTCTTGCCTTTGATCTCTGCCAGTACAATGTGTGATACAAATCTGCAGTTTGTGTTTCACTTATAGAAATATATGTTAGTTATCTTGTAAACAAGATTTAACAGTCATTTTTTTTCCAGTACTAAACCTTGAGTTGCTTAGTGGCCCAGAGGAATCCCTTGGTAACAAACTTATTGGAAGGGTTTACATCCCACGAGAATGCAGGCTACTAGTGAAGTCCAGAAAGTGGCTTCCATGCTTAAGAGCATTTAATTATAAGACAGTCTAAGAAAATACATGTTAAAAAAATAGAAGCACAGTGAACAAAAGCCACAGCACTGTAATAGAACTTCTTCTGTTTTCAAGTTTTAGAAAGTTGTTCTCAGCCTGCCTTTGAACTCCTATTAACCCTCAGGAAGAAAAAAACAAAACAAAACAGTAGTTCCAAGATCGTCTGGCCTTGGACTCTATGAACCTGCATGTGGGATGTTCACAGAAAATGATACATCTCCAAATCCCTTTTTGAAAATAATCTCTTCCCAGGGTTAAACTCTACAACCAATCAAAATAGTGCACCTTCTAACCTAGGGTAAATCGCTCGAGCGGTAGCTCTAGCAATTGGGTCCTGGGATTTTGAAGGTTCAGAGAGGGCTTCCCAAGTTGCACAAGACTTCAGGACACTGAAAACCCACCACCCATTTGGTGGTTTTGATTCCTTGAGGATACATAGGAGGCTGCTCCTTGAGGAATTGTGACCAAAAACAGAGAAGCGGCTTAAACTGGGGGTACCAGTTACTCAGCTGGAAAGAAACTCTGCGCGCCCCCTTTCCGCACTTTCGTTATTACAGGCATGCAGCCCCCTTTCTAAATCCCGGTAGCTTATCCAGGTTCCCACTGCATACCTGAACAGAAACCCTCCCAGCACACTCCGGACAATTTCCCCATTCATTTTAAATGCACATTATTTCTAAATGCATCCTTGAGAGACTCTAATTATGAAACGGTTAAACGAATGGGCCAGCTTTCCTTCCATGTCGGTTTTTTATTTTTCCAAAATTGCCATCAGACACCCAAACGAGTTACGGACCGAACCATTCCTTACCTACAATTTAGAACTTAACATCAAACTCGTCCCAAGCGTTGCCAAGGGAATACCATTTTAAAATCGCATGTAGGATTTCTAAATATCTTCAGACCAGAATACACCTTAACGGAAAAAAGCCATCCCCTCCTCCCCAGGCACAAAAACACAACGGAGCCCAAGCAGCCCGTTTCCTACCCAGCCAATACAATAATGCTTTGTAAGCTGAGAGCGGCGCCCGGTAAAGCCCAGCATAAACAGCAGAGGAGGATTAGGCGGTAGCTCCGTGCTCATTTACATGAAAATCCGCCCAGCATCGTTTTCCTCGCTGGCTGCGGGCACATTAGGAACTCTTTGCGCCATTGCCACGCATACATTTGCATCCTTTGTCTTTACTTACCAGTCGAGGCTGTGGGCATGTGTGCTCTATTTCCTCCATGGTGTCTGAGGGAGGCTCATTGGAAAGGGATTTTGGGATACCTGTTTCTGACTCAGCATCAGTGTTAAGTACTGGCATGGCCAGTGAATGCTCCCTCCGGCTCTACACCCTCTGTGAGTCTCCTCCCAGACAGAGAATGTTTTCTTTGTCACGTATTTTTCTCCTAACTACCCATCCCCCTTCTTCGTCCCCTCTTTCTCTCCTCCTTGGGCGAAGTAAAGAGGTTGCCCCCCTACTCCCCCGCCTCTATCCTTCTCCGATCAGCCAAGAGGCGAGGCCTCAGTTTATCACTATAACAACCAGACCGCACTGAAGCGGCGGGTGCGGGATACAGTAGCTCATTTGCATGGAGCGCGCTGGTTGGCTACTGTCATCATAGTACCACTCCGCCGAGGAGCGGCCGAGCCCCATTGGCTGCCCGGCCGTGCCCACGGGCCCCCGGAACTCGCTGCTTTTGTTTCTTCTATTTAATTCAGTTTGCTAAGGTCTCGGTCCATTCTGGGCACGGACCCGGGCTGCACGACCCAGATAAGATGAAACCTCTTCCTGAGAGGCCGAGGACGCCGCTAGAAAGAACATAGCCAACCTCCATTTAGGAAAGGTAAAAAAAAAAAAAAAACGTGTCCTGGGCAGGAGTGTTTGATGGGCTGGAGTCAGAATATTTGCCAAAAGAGAAGTCACCCTGAACACAAAGCCAGTTCTGAGCTCCAACTCATTGTGCCCACGGTTGCCATCTGGCCTGGAGAGCCTGTGGGGGCATTCATTGTAGATACCTAAGTGTTCAGCCCCTTGCTTCCAAGGGCAGATTCCCTGAGGCCTGGTGTAGTCCTGGAACCTACCCCTGGGTTTGCCCTGAACTTTGCAGCACACAGGATGTCTTTGACAAGCTGCCCTCCCTCACTTCTCTTCCCCTTCCCAGCTAGTCACTTTCCTCTAGGTTGTCTGGCCTTCACTGCACTGTTCCTTAAGCTGGTCTGTTACTCTACTCCCATTTTACTAGGACCCAGTATCTAAGCACCCTGCTCTCTGGTCAGATGTTCATGGCAATCAGAGAAACAACCCAAGCAGGGCCTTACCTTAAAGATGATGCACCTGAAGGTCTCAGCGGTCCAGGAATAACCCCCATTTTAAGAGAGGTGTTGTGAAGTTCTAAACGAACTTCCAAAGATACTATAGTGAAGTACCACGCTTTTAATAACATTAATAAAAAGCATAGTAATTGCTAGCATTTATTAAGCAGAGGCACAGTGCTAAGTACTGTGATCACCTGGATCTTGTGTAGTCTTTGAGAGAAACCAAAGAGGTAGGGCCCATTATCCACTTTTTACAGTAAATTGCACATTGGAGAAACTGCTTAAGGCCTCAAAGTTCATAAACCATGGAGCTGGGGTTTGAAGGCTCTGGGTGGGGGCAGGGATGCAGCAACTGTAGCAGTGGAAAAGGCACGTAGGTAGGAATCTGCTTGAGGCAAGTCCCTGGGCTTCTAGATCTTTGATTTTAATATTCAGCAGTGGTTTTCATCCTAATGTGGTCGGCGTGGACAGCACCAACATCAGCAGCACCTGGCAACTTGTTAGAAATGCAAATTTCTGGCTTTTCAAGACCTGATTCAGTAAACCTGCGGTGGGATCAGAATTTATATCTCTGGAAGTTTTAGGTGTCCTTGTTGCTGTGGGTCTGGGGAGCCATACTGTGAGAACCAGTCGTCCGAAGAATGGGAGAAAAATATCCGCCTTGCCTCCCTCCCAGCAGTTGGGAGAGCAAATAAGTTATAGTGTGAAAGTACATTGTGAATTGCTCCTCAAGTAAGCAGAGGTGAGCTTAGAAGCAAATGGATTCTGCTTCAGAGGTTTACAACTAGCCAGTTCCAGATGCTGCCACTTTCAAGCAGAATGACATCAAGATATTACTTGCGATGGAGGATCAGGATAGCAAAGTTGGAAAGGAGGGACCGCCAGGCAAGAAGCCAAGCTCCCACAAAACCGGGAACTGGAGGTGGGGGTCGAAGTGCTCACATACTCGGTAAACCAGCTATAGAAATTTAAAATCCTTTGGTGTCAAGGCACCGACCCAAGCGAAGTGTCAGATGCTCTTAGTGTCTTAGGGCCAGATTGGAGGTAAAGATATGCAGATCAAGGGCCATTGTGGAATCTCCTGTCCTTTCAAATTCTACATAGTTACCCCAAATCCACAGGAAACAAACCACTCCACAGATGATTGAGCCCCTCCCAAAGAGACTATCTTCAAGGTAGCTCGATGCAGACCTTCTGCCCACCTGAGGCTATGCAGATGCTTTTTTTCACCAGCTCTTTCTCCCTCCGCAGGGCAGAGGCTTCCTGCCTGCCCGTGACCTGTACCACGTCTGGGCTTCTCTTCAATGACCTCGACCAGCAGAGGCAGCGCTCCTCCACCCCCGCCTGCCACCATGCAGGTCTCTCAGCACACCTGCCCCTTTCCAGGCAGCTCTTTCTGCCTCTTTGTGTCTATGCGAGTGCACTTCAGCCTATTCTCCCTTTTATTAAAAAAAAAAAAAAAAAACCCTGCCCTTCTGGGTATAACTATCGTCTCTGTTATGGAGAAACTCACCTGAGAACTTGCTGGTGCCAATGAAAGGGGAGCTCTGGGGAAACTTCCCAGAGTGGGCTCAAGGACCCCACTCTCTGAACTCAACAACTCCAAAAATGACCTCAGTACCTAAGGTTCTAAGAACACCAGTGATGCGGAATTTCAGGGACACTGGAATCCCTTCCTACACCACCCACTTTCATGCAAACACAGAACACTACCAAGCCCTTCAAGGAGGAGATAAGCCTTATAATATGTGTAGAAGCCCCTTTCCAAGGAGCAAAGAATATGCAATGGAACATATATAGTTTGTTCAATAAACGGTGCTGGGAAAACTGGACTGCTACGTGCAAAAAAATGACGCAAGACTACTGCCTCACACCATGCACAAAAAGCAATTCAAAGTGGATTAAAGAATTAGACATAGACCTGAAACCGGTCCTCTCTGGTGGCGCAGTGGGTTAAAACACAGCACCGTGAAGCTACAGCAGCCACTGCAGCATGAGTTCGATCCCGGGCCAGGGAGCTGACCCTCACGGGGTGGCACACCTGCTGGTCCCCTCAGCAGTGTATTTCAGTGCATCTGCCTTTTCTGCTCCCCACTCTGTCTCTGGTGAATCCTTCCACCCCCTGCACCTCTGGCCTGTACCCCAGCTCTGCCTGCATAAATAATAAATCTTTAAAAAAAAAAGACCTGAAACCTTAAAATACAAAGAAAAGATAGGCAAACATTATATGACATATATATCACTAACATCTTTAAAGACACATCACGTTAAAGCAAGGAAAAGATAAACAGCTGGGACTACATCAAATTAAAGAGCTTCTGTAGAACAAAAGAGACAGTAGCCAAAACAAAAAGGCATTCTGTAACAGGGTGGTCCCTAGGAAAAAGGGAAATTCCATGTTCCCTGCCCCACCCAGAACGAGGGAAAAAGGAGAGAAAGAGAGAATGAAGCTGGATGGAGAGCCAGGAGACTTGAGGAAGCCACATGGAGCAGCAAGCATGTGATGAAGAAACCGGGCTTGTTTCCTGACCCTGGACTGGTGAAGGCAGATGTGGG